GGAGAGAAAGTGTGTTCTCCCCTAGAAAGACCCAGCACATCATGATACTGTGCCCAAACTGATTAGAGCAGGAATTGGCAAACATTTTCTGTTAAGGACCAGGGAGGGCGTGACTATTTTCCGCTTTGTGGGCAATATGGTCTTCCTTGCAGCTACTCAAGTCTGCTGGTGTAACATGAAAGCAGCCTTAAGCAATGTACAAATGAATGTGCATGGTCGTGTGCCAATAAAACTTTATTTACAAAAACAGGTGGTGGGCCAAATTTGGCCATAGTTTGCCAATGCCTGCATTAGAGCAATGCAAGAACCATCTTCTCTTAAATGGGCCCAACCCTCTTGGAACTGTGTCAAAACCAGCAAAGTCCACGATATTATTGACTTTGAGTATCTTTCTCAACAGGAGCAGAGTCCTCCTGGCCTTCGAGGCAGCCAATTTCGCACTCCACTAAAGAAAAGTCAAAATGCTTCCCCCAACAAAGACTGTGCATTCAATACCTTGAACCAACTCGAGGTGGAGCTTGTGAAATTTGTGTCCAAGGTACGGAATCTTAAGGTTGCCATGGCAACAGGTGGTGGCAGCAACCTCAGGCTTCAAAGGTCAGAGATGCCTGCAGATCCACACAATAATATCACGATCTATGAAATTTGGGGAGAAGGCGGCTCTAACTGAATGGATTTGTGTGTCAAAAAAATAGAGAAAAAAAGTTGAGTATTGACAAACTGTATACAAACTAATAAAACTATTCTGAAGAACTTCCACATTTGAGACCTTGCTTATTTTCTTTTTTCACGAGAAGGAAAAGTGAATGTGAGACCAGCAGCCACAGCAGTGGTGGTTTTGGTTTTGCCTCTCTCACGTCCTCTAGAGCTGTGGGTGGTGACAGGGGCACTGAAAGCTACATAATAGTACGCGATGACCTCGTGCTTCCGTGCAATGGCAGCGGGTGGAGGACGGAGCTGGGGAAATCTGGGATAAGTTGCTGAGGTCAGTCCATAAAAACTCTTGTTTTCTTCTCTATAGTATCTATTTGTGCAAGACGCAGAACTGCTTTTTATCTCTGACACATTACAAAAGACGACTTTAATGACAGTTTTTAGGTGGCAAAATGATTCATTTAGGAGGGGTGTATTCTAGAGTCCGTCTGATTCTCTCAGCACCACAAGAGTCCTTTCGCTTGTTCCATTTCAAAGTTTCCATGTATTGACTCTTCCCTCTACCAAACTAGCAGTTACATTTGTCAATAGTTGGATTAAGAAAAAGGGAGAGGCCAGGCGCAGTGGCTCACACCTGTAATCAGCACTTTGGGAGGCCGAGGTGGGAGGATTGCTTGAGCCCAGTAGTTTGAAACCACCCTGGGCAACATAGTGAGATTCCTTCTCTATTATTTTAAAATAATAATAATAAATATTTAAATTTTAAATAAAACATAAAAATAAAATAAAAATAATTGTAAACACTATTTTAAAAATTTACTAAAAAAGAAAAGGGAAACAATTCATACTTTCTATATCACTGAGGTTTTGAATACAGACATGCTAACATCTGTATCAAAATCAGTCAATATGTACTTTGTCCTACTTATTTAAAATATGGGTATTTTACATGTTAGTGTGTCTGACTCTGCACATACTTACAAATATAAGGCCCCTACTGACCTCTGAGCCCATCTTCCTCATTTAAAAGGCCAACCTGACGGTTTTGTAGACACGCCTGTGTGTGGCTGGAGACAACAGTTAGTTGTGGGACACTATGGAAATCCCTTTATTTAACTTCAGTCCAAACTTCCGGTGCCTGACAGAGAAGCCCTGAATCTCCACCACCTTCCTTGCCAACCGCAAAGCCCACTCCCATTATTTGCATGAGGCTTTCAGGATCCGTTCCGCACTGGCAATTTTCTTCGTGTGTAGAAGGTGGACCTCTTGTAAAAGGTCCTTGAACATTTTGCTTTTTGACTTAACTCTCAGGTTTCAGTATGGGAGAAATGGAAGGAGCCAAGATCACTCCTTTCGCTTCCCATATTAGTTATGAGTGTTTTCAAGCAAAACAGAGTATGTGAGTCACTGTCACAGCCCACTCTGAAGAAATCCAGATAAGAAAAAAAAAAAAAAAAAGGTAGCCAGGTGCGGTGGCTCACACCTGTAATCCCAGCACTTTGGGAGGCCGAGGTGGGTGGATCATGAGGTCAAGAGATCGAGACCAGCCTGGTCAACATAGTTAAACCCCATCTCTACTAAAAATACAAAAAAAAATTAGCCAGGTGTAGTAGCATGTGCCTATAATCCCAGCTACTCGGGAGGCTGGGGCAGGAGAATCTCATGAACCCAGGAGGAGGAAGTTGCAGTGAGCTGAGATCACACCATTACACTCCAACCTGGGTGACAGTGCGAGACTCCATCTCGAAAAAAGTGAAATAAAATTTAATTTAATTTAATTAAAAAGAAAAAAAATTGTTTTAACCAGTAATCTCAAGATGGGGCAGGTTTTAGATTTTCTTCATTTAACCAGTAGATACTTAGACCCACAGTCAGCAAGCTATAGCTCACAGGCCAAATCTGGCCACCTGCCTATATTGGTACAGTCTTGTGAACTGATTGATAATGGTTTTTATATTTTTTCATGGTTAAAAACATCAAGCAGGGTGTGGTGGTATGCGCCTGTAGTACCAGCTACTCTGGAGGCTGAAGGAGGAGGATTGCTTGAGTCCAGGAGTCTGAGTTCAGCCTGGGCAACATAGTGAGACCCTGTGGCTACATATATAGGTATATATTTGATGACATGAAAGTTACATAAAATCCAAATTTTAGCGCCTATGAATTTTTACTGGAACACAGCGACACTCTTTAATTTACATATTATCTACGGCTGCTTTTGTGCCACATAATTTCCATATTATCTATGCTTTGTGCTTACAATGGCAGACTTGAATTATTGCAACAAAAACCAATATGGCCCACATGTATTTACTAACTGCCCCGTGACAGGATAAGTTTGCCAACCTCTAATTTATGCTAATCTCATATGTTAACAATGAGAAGCCTGCACGGTGGCTCACGTCTGGAATCCCAGCACTCTGGGAGGCTGAAGTGGGTGGATCACTTGAGGTCAGGAATTCAAGGCCAGCCTGGCCAACATGGTGAAACCCCATCTCTACTAAAAATACACAGTTAGTCAGGTATAGTGCTGGGCATCTGTAATCCCCACTACTTGGGAGGTTGAGGCAGGAAAATCGCTTGAATCCAGGTGGTGGAGGTTGCAGTGAGCCAATATTGCACTTTCCGTTAACCTGTTCCTTGTTTCTGCCTTCTCCCCATAGACAGGGACTGTGATATTGTGATTCATAATCAGAAATAAGTATTTGGTCCTCATCCCTCCCCACTTCCTGGCATACAACTCCGAAATCCCTCGGAATTTCCAAAATAAGTTCTGGTGGCTAGAAGCACTTGGAAAGCCTCAAGATAGAGGCTGGTGATTAAAACATCTGTGGTTGGAAGTTTGGACCTTTCAGTCCACCCCTCAACTCCCAAGGAGGAGAGAGGTGCTGAAGGTTGACTTGATCTCCAATGACCAGTGATGTAATCAATAGTGCCTATGTAATAAAGCTCCATAAAAACCCAAGGGACTGGTGGCCCGGTGGCTCATGCCTGTAATCCCAGCACTGTGGGAGGCCAAGATGGGCAGATCACCAGAGGTCAAGAGTTCAAGACCATCCTGGCCAACAAGGTGAAACCCTGTCTCCACTAAAAATACAAAAATTAGCTGGGCATGGTAGCGGGCGCCTGTAATCCCAGCTACCTGGGAGGCTGAGGCAGGAGAATCACTTGAACCCAGGAGGTGGAGGTTGCAATGAGCTGAGATGGTGCCACTGCACTCCAGCCTGGGCGACAGAGCAAGACTCTGTCTCTTTGTTGCTTTGAAGTCTATTTTATCAGCAAAAATTGCAACTCCTGCTTTCTATTTATTTATTTTTGCTCTCCATTTGGTTAGTAAAATTTTCTCCATCCCTTTGTTTTGAGTCTTTGTGTATCCTTGCATGTGAGATGGATCTGGATGTAGCGTACCAATGGGTCTTGGCTTTTTTTGCCTGTCTGTGTCTTTGAATTGGGGGAGTTAGTCGAGCTAAAGATCAAGCAACAAAGATCAAAAGAAGCAAAGAAGGATATTACATAACGATAAAAGGATCAATGTAACAAGAAGAGCTAAAGATCCTAAATACATACACACCCAATACAGGAATACCCAGATATATAAGACTTATAAAGAGACTTGGACTCCCACACAATAATAGTGGGAGACTTCAACATCAATATTAGACAGATCAATGAGACAGAAAGTTAACATCGATATCCAGAACTTGAACTCAGATCCGGAACAAGTAGACTTAATTAACATTTATAGAACTCTCCACTTTAAATACACAAAATATACACTCTTATCAGTACCACATCACACCTATTTATAGGTTTAAATGAAATATTGGTTGGCTGCTTGTTAGTTATTTTCTTCCCTCATTTTTTTTTATGTCACTATTATTAAACACAATTACAGGCATACCCATTTTTAGACTGCATTCTAGCCCAAGCAATAAAGCAACACCCCTGTTCTCTCTCCCTCTTCCTCTTCCTCTTTCTTCCTTTCCTTCATTCTTTTTCTTTTTTTTTTTTAATTCTTTCTCTTTCTTTCTCTCTTCCTCTAAAAAAAAAAAAGACTCTGTCTCAAAAAACCAAAACAAAACAAAAGAAAAACAAGAGAAAAAAAACACGGCCGGGCGCGGTGGCTCAAGCCTGTAATCCCAGCACTTTGGGAGGCCGAGGCGGGTGGATCACGAGGTCAAGAGATCGAGACCATCCTGGTCAACATGGTGAAACCCCGTCTCTACTAAAAATACAAAAAATCAGCTGGGCATGGTGGCACGTGCCTGTAATCCCAGCTACTCAGGAGGCTGAGGCAGGAGAATTGCCTGAACCCAGGAGGCGGAGGTTGCAGTGAGCCGAGATCGCGCCATTGCACTCCAGCCTGGGGAACAAGAGCGAAACTCCGTCTCAAAAAGAAAAAAAAAAAAAAAACCCAAAGGGACAGTGTGCAGAAAGTCTGGATAGCTGAGCACCTGGAGGTTCCTCCACGCCCCTTCCCCCTAACCTTGCCCTGTGTACCTCTTC